TCAGAGTAAGGATTCACCCATGGAGAGAGTGGCGCAGCTGGACGTGAGCCTAGGAATGTCCTGGGCCAGCCGTCTCCCCCTGGTGAGGAGGAGGCCGGGGAAAGAGAAGGCAAGGGAACAAGTGCAAAACGATACTGTGATTGATGGGGGTGATGATAGCGTCGAATCTATTTTAAATTACACACAATCTCAAGGGCTGAAATAGGAAGGAAAAACAATTTTTTGTTCAAGTATTAATTTGTTCTCACGCTTATACATAAACATGCATAATGTTCCCTACAAATTCCTATGTTAATTATCACTGTCCTATATTTTAAAACAGGGTAAAGAGACTTTGGAATGATTTCCTATCTATTCATTAGCTGCATTAAGATCAGAGCCCCAAATCAGACTCAGGCTGGGGAGTCTATTTCAACTCATAGCCAGCCTATAGGACAGGGTAGACCGCCCCTTGTGAGTTTCCAAGGCTGTACATCTCTATGGGAATAGAAAAAAAATCTACATAAGCATCACAAAAAGGATAAAGCAACAAAACATTCCTTCCTGAAACATGTTGCCCTTGTGTAATAATATGAAAACATTGGAGGACTTCAAACAGTGTGGGAAAATGGAATGAAAGGATAATGAAAAAAAAAATCAAAAAGCCAAACTCACTTTTCATCGCGTCCTTTCTGACTCCCAGTGGCACCACACCACTGGGTAGCGCTGCCTCAGTGAGTTTCCCGAGACTCTAACTCTTTATGGGAGTGGAAAGGTCCACCTTCCTCCAGGGAAGTGGCTGGTGGTTTCAGACTGCTGACCTTGCAGTTAGCAGCCCAACGCGTACCCACTATGCCACTATGTACCCACTATGTCTTCCTCAAAGACAAGGAAGCCCCCTTGTATTCACTATGGATGTTTTTCCACCAGACATGCTCTTCATTGTCAGAGAGTTCTAGTATCTAATCCTGGGGTTCCTGGTTTTCACCTACTTTGAATATACACATACACCCCACCACAACAGCTGAATGGATTCCCACCCCCAGCGGCCCCACTGGCCTGAGTCGAGGGTGTCCAAGATTGGAAATCTTGGCAGAGGCAGGCGATCATAGTTTTCTCCTGTGGAGCCTTTTGCCTCTTAGCAGAGTGCTGAACCACTGTGCCAACAGGGATCCTTCTATATCATAAACTTGTATGTGTAAACGTGGCTAAGCTGTGGGTCTCAATGACTATGCTAAACATTAAACAGGTCCATAAGATACTCTACTGCAATGCGATGCGATGCCATCACCTTCTGTCAGGCAAAATGGTGTAATTAATCCAATGAAAGGGAGCTTCATTGGGGAGGGGGCGGGGCCGGTGATCTACCTTCAGACGTAGATACTTAGGCAGTACATCTGCTCTCTGGACTCTTCCTATCACCTGACCTGCCAGCATAAGGATCTTGGGACAAAAGTTCTGCCTTGTCTCCAGCCTGTTGTCTGACCATAGACCTGGGGTTCACCGGCATCCCTGCCGTCTCCATCCTGTGAGCCAGCAGAAATCTCCAGCCTGTTGCCTGACTTTTGCATTTTAGACTTTCCAGCCCCCACACGTGCTGAGTCAATCCCTGGAATAAATCTTTTTATAAACTAGGGTAAATTAAAAAATATATATATATTGCTACTACGATTCTGGTTCATACAGGTATGGGTTTATTCAAGCCAAACATACTCAGGCGTGCCTCTGTGGCCAGTGGGTGGCTGTGGACACGGTCTCTCAGGAGTACACTTGTCTCAGCTTCGCTGGGGTGGCTTCAAAAGAAGGGTCCAATCAAAACAGTGTCTTCTGAGGAACTCTGCTGGGTCACTCAAAGCACAGAGCTCAGCGCCGTGACTGTTTTTTGAGAATTCCAAGGGCCATCTTGATAGATCTTCCTGAAGGATCCAGGGGGATCACAGAGGCCCATTATGAAGAAGTTTTAAGAAAACAGAAAAGAGCATTGGCAAAAAAGAAAGGAGAGGAAAGGTGTGCAGGGAATCCTCCCCACCCCACGATCACAATGCACCTGCTCAAGTATAGAAGGGCTGCCCTATGAGAATTTGTTTGGGAAACCTTACCCATCTACCCTTCAGACTTCTCTATATTCCCCCAAACTCAAAGAACATTTAAAGGGAAATGATTTAATCCCTCCAGGATGCCAAGCCCATTGTTTTTCCGTGGGGTCAAAGAGCACAGAAGGGTTAGTGATGCGATCGGCACCTTCAGAAATGTGTAGGCCCAGATAGACCGAGAAACCATACATTTGGATGTTCTTGTTTTCAATGATTTTATAGCAAAGCCTCATTTACCCTTGTGTGTGAAAACATCTCATATATATGTATATATGATGGATGATATATAAATATCATCCACTGGGCGCATTTCGAGCTAGTCCATTCAGAGGTATTGCAAATTCTGAGAGGCACCTCTTCAAAGTACCACCCAAGGGAAGCTAGACATCGTCCACTTTGCTTTCCTTTAGCCACTCATTACCACACAGACAAGACTTCTTCAGGACTGTCAACTACCACTTGCCCTGGGCGAGGGCCAACCACAGTTACATCACAGTCCCCTGCACCCACTTGGTTATCAAAGAAAACCCCCAGTGCTTCAAGGCTGGATTAAAGGAGGCAAAGTGTGCATCCATTAGCATAATGGGAAACGTGTGTCATCGCTGCGTTCTATGGTGTTCTGAGATTCAGCTAAGCTGCTTCCACTCTGGAACAAAAAAACGCTTATGCCCTCCACACCCCCAACCCCTTTAAATAAATGTCAATTTAAAATAAGCTTTGCGCTGACGAGTCACCTTTAACTTGTCAGTTAACTAATTACCCAAGAAAAGCTGTTAAGCAAAATCCTGGCTTGGGGCTGTCATTGTACCTGTCAAGGCGCTGCAGCTTTGAATGAAAGGCGTTCAGACGGTGAGCTAGGCTACAGACACAGGGGAAACTGTTGAATTCCTGTAATGTTTCCGTTTCCCGCGGGCGCAGCCACCTCCTATCAGAGAGCCACCCCAGTCTCAGGTCAGCAGACAATATCTGCAAAGGAGGAGCAGTCTTGGGTGTGGTCACCGGTCCCCCGAGGCTGCCGGATCTAGGACCCAGAGCCGCGCCCTTAGCGGACAGTCACCACTGCCGCCTCTCTCAGATTTTACCACACTGCACCAGGCCAGATGCAACCCGCCTCCAGCCCTTCAACGTAGGCCGCCTGGCAGACAAAGCCGGCTGATGTGGGCAACCCACTCCGGATGGAGGCGACCTTCGGTCTCAGGGGGCCGCGTTGCCCCGGGACTGCCCACGCCAACCAGCCACGTCTCCGCAGCCGGTCAACCGCGCGGCGCGGCTCGGGCGCGCGGCAGCCAGAAGGCGCCCGGGCTGCGCGCTGCTGCGACAGGCTGCGGGTCGCAACCCCCCACTCTGGAATTCACGACGGGGCTAGACGACCCCACGCAAGCCCCACAGAGGCAAGCACAGCTGGCTTTTGGTCCCCACGTGTCCTGAGATTGCTCTGTGTGTATTTTCTGCCCAGAAAACGGCTCGCTTGAGTTGGGAGGGGGACCCCAGATCGTGGTCGGGCGGGTGATAGCGGTAGCTATTGTTCTCTGGGTCTTCCCGGCGGGAAATGTCCCCCATGCCGCCCGCCTGGCAGCATACGCCACTGGGCAGAGCTACCAGCCCGGGAAGAAAAGGGTGTGCTGGGGCGGATCCCCACAAAACCCCTGAGCGACTCCCCAGAGGCGTGTCTCAGGCCGCTGGGGACAAAGCTCCACGTGAGGTCAGCCGGGTCCCTCCCGGGGTCCGCCACCCTGGGTCCGAGGGCCACGCCCAGTCGGCCACCTGGGCCACCAAGCCCCCCTAGCTTGGAGCACAGGGTCTTCAGGTCTGACATTCACCGCGCTGCTGCCAGCCCCTCCCTCCTTCGGCGACACCCCTTCCCCAGGGGACCCCCCCTACTCGGCGCAGGCCTCCCCCTCCCACCTGCCTTCCCTCTGCAAATCCAGACGGTCCCCATCCCCACGCTCTTGCATCTCCCCTCCTCATTCTTCAGCCTCAGATGTGGCCACCTGCACCATCTCCCCTCCTCATTCTTCAGCCTCAGATGTGGCCACCTGCACCGAGTTCCGCAGGCCAGGCCTCCTCCTCCAACTCTGGGCCCTACGTCCCCAGAACCCCGACTGCCCCCAGCCGGCTTTCCATTCTCTCGAGCGTCTCCACCTTGGCTCGAACCCCAGGCCTCCGGCTCGCCTCTCTGCGTCCCGGCTTCTCCCCAGCTTACACTCGGCTGCCTTCTCCCCTAGGCCCAGAGCGCCAGTGTCGCTCGCCTGCCAAGCTGGATGCTGCGGGGTGAGGGGTGGGGGGTCCTACACTGGGATCAAACGGGGGGATTGGGAGGGGCGGCGGCCGGAGGCCTTTGTGGTTCAGCAGGTGCTGCGGAGGCGACAGGCGGGTCCACTCGTTCTACCGGACTGGGAACTGGGCCGCTGAGTTCGGTCCCAGTCGGGCTAATAGCAGCCCCGAGTGGATTCTCGGACGGAGGGTGTGTATCTGGGCGGTGGGTGGGGGGCTCGGGTTAGGGCCGATGCGGTCAGGGCGGGCCCCCAGCCAGCGCTTCCTCCCGGGGAGCGTTCCAGGCGTCGCTGCCCTCGAGAAACAAGAGGTGCGCACCTACTGCGTGCTAGCCGTGCCACCCCTTCAACCAAGCCGCCTCTTCACCCCAGTTCTCGGCTAGCGCACGGACGCATTACACGTTATACTGGGAGCGCGGCAGCACGACGCGCGCGGTGGGCGTACAAAGGGGGCCCGATCGGGACTCCGTGGAGCCCAGGCGGCCACCTGCTCTCAGCCTCCAAACACAGCTCCCACCGAGCCCCCGCGGCTCCGGCCCGCAGGCGCGCCCCGGTCCCCGCCCTTTTGTGCGCTTCACGGAGAAACAGGGAGGAGGCGAGGAAGAAGCCCCAGCCCGGGGAGGATAAGCCCACCGCCCTCCCTGCCATCACCCACTCCTCCAGGATGCTGCGGCTGCTAGGGTCCGTGGGTCCGTCCGTCTTCCCCGTTTCGCCGCGGCGCGGGAGCTGCGGGTGCTGGGCGGCGGCGGCGGCACGCGCGCTGGCTGGGTCGCCGCCTTGGAGCGCCTGGCGCCGGAGCCCCGAGCCGGGGGCGGGGCGGGGCGGGGCTG